ATTGTGGTACCACAGTGTGGGAGCAAATTGTGGTACCACAGTTTGGGAGCAAATTGTGGTACCACAGTGTGGGAGCAAATTGTGGTACCACAGTGTGGGAGCAAATTGTGGTACCACAGTTTGGGAGCAAATTGTGGTACCACAGTGTGGGCGCAAATTGTGGTACCACAGTTTGGGAGCAAATTGTGGTACCACAGTTTGGAAGCAAATTGTGGTACCACAGTGTGGGCGCAAATTGTGGTACCACATTGTAGGAGAAAATTGTGGTACCACAGTGTGGGCGCAAATTGTGGTACCTCAGTGTGGGAGCAAATTGTGGTGCCTCAGTGTGGGAGCAAATTATGGTACCACAGTGTGGGAGCAAATTGTGGTACCAAACAGCGCACGCGATGAATTAAATAATATAAAATACATGGTTGCTAATTTGCTAAAAAAAAATATTGAATTCAACCAATTTTTAAGAAATTGATTTAATTAACTTCGTGAAAGGAAAAATTATCTTGATCCCCCCTAATTATGAGCCATAAAAAGATTCGATTAAAAGGGGGTGCGAGAGACATATAAGAATTATAAATATACATTTTCATTAAAAATTAAATAATTCATATCATTTTATCAACCTGAATATTAAAAACCATTCGAAGAGCACTGTAAGCATAGGGAATAATTAAATTAAATATAAATAAATAAATGGGTCAACTATTAAAATTGACGACGAAATAGAAATGGAAATGGATAGGCTGCGAAATAGAAGTCGTAATCGAAAAAGGCGACGAAATAAAATGGGTAAGCAAATGGAAAATGAAATAGAAATGGAAATGGAACGATTCATATCTTACAGAATTAGACCCCAGGAGCCTCGGTTAAATTGAGATAATAAAACGTAAAATAAAAATAAAAAAGTGAATACAGTTTTTTTTTCCTACATTATTTACCATTTATAGGAACATGTTCTTCCCTTACTAACATATTTAAATTTTTATTAAAATGAATTAAAAAAAAAAAACGTTTGCAGGCATTTCTCAAGAAGACACATACTATGATAGCGTATTCTCAATTTTAATTATATGTATAAAAATAGTGTGAACTTAACGTTACCTTTAATGATTAAACATAGCTAAATAAAAACGAAATGAAGAATTCTTTCAATCAATTTATTACATATTTGTATGAATATTATGCAAATTTAATATATATTTTTGGCACTTGAATCGGTAATTTTAATTCGTTAACCATAGAAGCAATGAATTAAAATAATATAAACATATTGATATTTAATTTTAACATGAAAATACGATTAGAAAATAAAAAATATAATAAAATAATTCCAATAAATTCTTTTCTTTACCATCTCATGCATTCATCTCACTTTAGCCAAAAATTTATGATTATTATAGATTGCTACTTTTTCTGCATAAAAGATTAATTCTTAATGCATTTTTGTATTAACCGAGAAGAATTAATAATAAAAAATATGTTACATAATTTTCAAATTTTTTCTCTTTAACGAAAAGAAAAACAGAAAATCAAAATTATTGAATTCGTCAAGGACTACCCGAGATGCAAACCAACAATCAAAATTTTTTAATGCATAAATAATTATTGTTTCAATTCAATATTGACGTACGCGCGCGTATTGATGTTTGATACACGCGGTGCAATGCGGAGATCTAGTTTAATAACTGTAAAGGTAAATGCAATTATGTGTGATGTACGCAGGCAGCGCGCGTCATCAGAATCGCAAATTTGTGTGAACGTGGCAGAGAAACACACGCTGCTGGCGAACGGGCGAGAGCGAGATTGAGGGGTAAGGCTGGGCAGGAAATGAGCTTCCGTCAGGCAATTTCAAATAAAATTGAATGCACGCAGCGGTGCTCTTTCCGAATGGCTCCGCGTCGCCGCCAACGCCGATTGCTACCTTTATCAAAATCATCTCTCGCGCTCGCCAAAAATGGGACAATATTTTTCGCTTCGAATGTTTCCACTTCCTCTCTCCGAGCCGCGAGTTGACAAAAACTCTCAGGTTTGGAGAGGAATGAGCGGAAGTTGTTTCGCCCCAAATAATCAATATTTTGACTTTTATTGTTTTTGAAAGTAGCTGAAAAAGATTCAGACATTAACTTAAAATTGTATCAAAATTATTATAATTAAAATAAAAATATTATTCCATTTGACCGCAGTCCGCAGCTTAAAAAACTGAAAATAATAATTCTGTTCATCGAATTTTGCTTACATTAATTTGAGTCATTATAGTTTAACATGTCCTCTTCAAATATTTCATTTTGATTAAACTTTTACAATTCTGGGTTATTGCGGGAAGAGTTATTAAATTTGTTAATATTTATTTTTTTATAATTTCTGCTGGATAAGATGAAATTTGATTGATGTAGAAATTGTTTAAAATGTAGAATTAATTAAAACATTAAAATCAAGGCATTTAAATTATTAATTACATAATTTGATTTAGGCCAATTTAGGTTCTTTGTAAAAAAAAACCAAAATTATGCACATCATTTCTGAGTAGGTTTTTTTACATCTAAAACGCATAAGCTAAATTTTTTTTTCCAAATGCGAAAAAAATTTCAATTTAATATTTTCACTCAATATCCTTAGTAAAAATTTAAACACTTTAGAAATATTATAAAAAAAAAATTCTTCTTAATCGTTAAAAATGAAAAACACGAAATCGATTTTGAATATCCGAGTTGCTTTATTTTCTGTCTTGTTGTATGACGTGCTCGGCGAGAAAAATTTGCCTGTTGAAAACTAGAAGCGGCGATAAATCAGGCGCAGTGTGTGCGCGCGGGTCGGGCCATACATCACCTGTCCGACGCACACCTTTGCGTCTAACGAGCCTGCCTGTGATTTGCATTAATGGCCTCGGCGCACCCGCCCTTTGTTTGTCGGCGGGTCACTTTCCCTTTTCTTTTTATCGCGCCGAGATCGCTTTCCCCCGAGCGGCCGATGATATTTTCCAGAGATGACGGACGTCGGCAAGCGGTCGAGCGGCTCGATCTCGCCGCTTGAGCGCGTTTTCGCGTGGGTGTTTCACAAACACCGATTAGGCAGATTGCGCGGCACCACTTAATTTAGACCTTGTTCGTTCGCCCGTTGATTTACAACTTCATGAATTGTGGCCGAAAATAGTAGCGGCCGTCAAGTTTGCCCCGCCAAGAGCGCAAATTTTTTCACCTTGATGGACGTGTGGGTTCTTTGATGTGACTCCAAAGTTTTTGAGATTTGCCCTTGATGCTGCCACTATGGAAAAAATAGCCGAATCTAAACTTAGAATTGATTTTATTTTATTTAATTATTTTGATTGATAGGATTTATTTATTTATTTTATTAGTTTGGTGATTATATCAAATTAGCATCCCAGATTTAGAAACCTTCGACGGAATTTAATAATTCAATAGAGGTAGAGTTCATGCTGTTATTAATAAATTAGATCTACATCCATAATTTTAAAGTGAAATAATAAATTAAATTTTGAAGAATAAAACTATGTACTGGTGATAGAATTTCAAAAATTTCATTTTAAAATGAGAAACTTGCTGTAAAATTGTTGTAAAGAGTGTATTTTATTATTTTCATACTTTAAACTTTCATTTCTTATGTTTGATTATGGTATCGATAAAAAAGAGAAAAAATTGTGCATTTATTTTAAGTAACAATAGTTAAAAACATATATTTTTAAATATATTTAAATAAAATAACTTGTTAATCAGGGCGCTCAAAAACTTTGTTTTAATAATGGTAAAAAAAATATAAAGGGTTTACTTAAAAAAAAAATCTTGAACGAATCATTAGTTATCACGGCTCTACATTACACTGTCACTTAGTCACTTTCATCAGAACTTACCCTTAATATTACAAAATGATATGCTGAAGTTTATTCAATTTTTCGTTTCTAATTAATAAAGAAAATACCATTGTGCATCACGATATAAATGAACTGAAAACAATAAAAACATTGGTAAATTTTGAATGATCCTGACCTGTTTTGTTAATGTCTAATAAATTAAAACAAACAAAATAATATATATATAAAAAAAAAACTCAATAATAACCAATGCAGAAAATTATATTCTGGCGTTGACCTAATAAGCCCAGCTTCAGCTTGTTGAAAGCATTAATACCCTTGAAATGGTTTCATATCGCTTAATTTTATTTTAAAGTAATTTGCAGATTGCCTTTATTAAATGCCAATTAATCTTTAAAAATAAAGTTATATCTGATCCCAACTTCTAATTAAAATATTACCCCAAATTAGTTTGACAGGCAAAAAACACCGTTATTTTTTCCCTTAAAAAACGCAGCACTTTAGTAGCGTCCTTTTTAAAACCCTTCTTCGCCTTGATTACCACACATAGCGGCTTAATCGAGTTTTAGGAGTGGCGAGAAGAAAGGGTTGCCTCCCTAGCTTGGTGCCGGAGAGTGTGTCTGATGCTTGATTAGAGTCGTTCTGCCCGCAAGTAAATAAAACCACAGCAGTGTGTGTGTTTTCGCCATTGTTTCTTCTCCTCCTCCTTCGACGCTCGACGGATTCACGGCGGTGGCGAAAGCCTTAATTAAATCGGCGCACACGAGAGCTCTAAAATATTATTATTTTCTCTTCGGCACCCTTAATATACTGGGGAGAGAGAGAGGTGCAAAAAAAGGGATGAAGAGATTTACCGGCCGGATGGCTGCCGGGCTCTCTGGCGCCAGCGCACTCTCTTTTTTTCCCTCTCTCTCTCTCTTTTTATTATTATTTTTTCTCTCTTTTCAATTTTGTTTGGATAAAAATTCGCTTTCCTCTCTCTCTCAAAAGTAATTGCATTACAAAAGATTTTTACGTGATGACAATTTCTCGGGGGTAATTGTCTATATAAATTCGCTCTCTAAAGTCCTTAACTTCCTTCTTCTTCTTCTTCTCCGGGCAACAAAGCCCCCCCCCCCCCTTCCTCGCACCCTTCCTTCTCTGAAGCACGCAGTGAAAGAAAATCTCATTTATAGTCTCCTTTGTCTTTCGCTCGCTTTAATGAATTTGCATTTTATGAATTACAACGAGGCCAATTTAGTGCAGATCCGGACACTTGCTCGGAGGCACGCAGTCCCCATCGGGGTTTCGCACCAGTCCCTCGGAGCAGAAACAGCCTGTCTTGCAACTAAGGCCGCAGGCCCTGGACTGACCAATGTTGTAACAGGCCTCGGGACACTCGGAACCGCATTCAAGAAAGACCTCGCCATTTACGCACTCTTCAACTTCTTCCGCCTCCAGCTCTGACAATGAGTGTTATAAAAATACAAAAGGGATTAAAAAAATAATTTAATAATAAATTAAAAAATATAGCACTAAGCCTTTTCAAAGAAATAGAACAAAGCAAAATTAAGAAAAAAACTACATTTAGGGTGAAGCAAAAGCCTAATATTTTTCACGGCCTAGGTAAACCCGCCATGCGATTGGAATGGTGGATTAAATTATCCTGGGCTATGCTACATTTTTATATCGCCAATATTACTAAATTTGATGATAATATAATTATAATAATTATTGTACTGGAATCATTTGAAATTATTTATGGTCAAAACCAGTCTGAAATATTTCCCATCTTGGTACAAAGAGGAAGAGGAATTTCATAACCCTTTCCTTCTCCTACATACATGTATTATTTAAAACTGACCACTAAAAGTCTCTTTTCAGGGCCATTATAGTCACTTTAGTAAATAGATTTCCCTTAAATATCCTGTGACATTTAGTTATTTTGCATGTTAATCGAATTTATTAGTAAATTAAATTAATTTGCTAAAATTTGTGCAAAATTATTTACTCAATTTCACAATTTTATGATGCAATCACGTACCCACATCACACAGAAATAAATTCAGCAATAAAAATAAATTTTGAAGAAATATTTCTGAGAAAATTATTACGACGTAAACTTAAGTTATATGATTTTTTTTTTACAATATAAAATAAGAGATTACAAATAATATACCTCTTGTTTCCTGATCTTGAGGTAATGCCTGGGTGAAACTGGCTGTCGTCAGAAGGACAATCAGAATAGCTCCTATTATAAACTTAGTCATTTTCCCGAGATTTTCAAGAAACAGCGTTTGCGTATAATTGCACTGTTTGCTTAATCGACCTGAAATAATGCACCGCCTTTATATAGACTCTTTTGTAATATCAGCAAGAAGAAGGTGGAAAAGATATAGCCGACGGTGTGATGGCCCCAATAATCGCAGCTATTGCCGAGTAATTGAGCTGTCACGCGAAGAAATTATCACTTTATACAACGCCTCGAGAGTCAGCCGCGGTGTCACCGAGTTCCGCACTCTCAAGGGTCGACTTTGCTGATAGGCTTTATTATTTATTGCACGCATTACTCTGTACATTTAATGCAATTACGGGTCTTTCTCACAAGATAATTTAAAGAAAAGATTATAATTGCAATGGTTTTATAGACCTTAATGGTTTTTATCTTTTTTTTTTTACACATCCAACTACTTGTACTTAGTTGTTATTAAGAGAATTACCTCACGTAAAAAATCGGGCCAATGCCAAATTTTTCTCTTGAATTTAAAGCGTATTGATCTAACCTTCACTAATTTCGGCCGAATTTAGTAATTTAGTGTGATGAAGAAGTGACGCAGACACAATGCAATCAGTTCAAAGAAGAATAAAACTTTTTGACGTCGCCGCGCTTCATTGATGTAGGTGAAACTAGTATAAAACCAGGTGGATTCTTCATTCAATCATCATCATCTCCTCAAGCATCAGTTTGATCAGATCTCACTTTTCACTCCCCAATCTTTCAATTCAAGGTAAGAAGGAAAACTTTTTCTATAAAATTGTGAGCTTTTTAAAATTAATTATTCGATTCTAATATTTACATATTTCAATTTTATTTAAAAAAAAAATTTTGGTTGCAGACAATGGCTTACAGATCAATTGCAAAACTCGCCTTGCTCCTCGTCTCCCTCCATACGGTCGCTTCGCAAGAAATAAAATGCCCGCAGAAACCGACCGAAATCGAGCTAACTGTTCGCGGCGTCCGCAACGCCACTGGTCACTGGAGCAAGGACGTCAGCATGGATTTTGATGGACCGAATTCTCCCGAGCAATGGTTCATTGACTTCAAAGAAAGGGTGAACACCAAGGAAATGTATTCTTTCACTGCCTCTGCCAAAATAGAAGGTAAATATGTATAATTATATATTTTTTTTAATTAATAATCTGTTTCTTAAAAATTTTGAGTTAGTTTTACGAGATTTGCACACAAATTTTGACACAAAATTGTCAATTTGTATTGTACAAAGTAATTACTTAAAATTAATTTATAAATCAAAATGTAATTTAATTTTAACTATATGTCGTTTAAAATTCATCAATAATAATATATAATCTTGCTAGAGAGCCAGGACTTTTTTTAAGTAATCAAAGAGATTGATTGATTTAAAAAGTCTAAAGAAAATTTACACCTTTCCTTTGAGATACAAAAGAGCTAGAAGCTGAGCAAAGTTGTTAGCATTGCGCCAAGTTAACAACAGTCCTTTTAAGCCCGATCAGTTAGTTTGATGAAAAGCAGGGGATTTCGTTGCTAATTAATAAAGTTTTAATCGCTCTCCGGCCGGCACGTGAAAGGAGAGGCGAAAATTGCACGCCAATTATTCATTCGAATAACTTCACATGGTGCAAGAAAGCCTTTTTAGCGTCTAATGAACCTCTTAGCTCGTTATTCAGAATAAACTTTGCACTTCTTAAATCACTGCCCGCTTTTCCAGGTTTGATTTTGGAAAACTCTCGCGTGAAGCAACTCCTTAAGTACGTGTACCGTGGCGACATCCGAAATTTCACCGACGCCAGCGCAACCTGCGAAGAGTTGGGCGCGCACTTAGCGATTATCAACAATGAACAGGAGGCGGCGTATTTGGGCCGATTGTCCAAAATCAGCAAAAGTCCCACATTCAGGACCAACTACGCTTTCGTCGGGTTTTCATATGATTTCAACACCAACGACTGGATGACCGTTGAAGGTAAAAAAATTTTATTTTAAGCAGGTTTTCAGTACGTCAAAATTTATTTATTAATTTTTTATGCCAAAATAAAAACTTTTTGCATTCTAGTTTTTCTTTTTTGAATTAAACTTCTAATTAAAAAAAAGGAGTGTGTTTTTTATGTCAGGAATCTTGCAATTTTTCTGCAGATTTCCCTTTGCAGAAATTTTGATGCACATTAAGTTTCATTTCTTTTTGTCTATAGAGTAAAATACGGCAAAAGTAACAACACACGTTTGTATTTTTGCAGGAAAAAGTTTGGAGGCGACCGGCTTTGCTAAATGGGATCTGGGACAGCCAAGCAACTCGAGTTTCATATTACCAAACGGCACACGTGCTTACGAGAACTGCGGCTCCGTGGGTCTGGACGGTCTGCTTAATGATAGCCCCTGCGAAACCCGACTCCCCTTCATTTGCGAATTCTTAGATGAAGAGGACCCTTGTCAAATAACGATCTAGAAAACCTGATCTTTTCAACCAACGTAAAAAAGAAGACACACTAGTTAGCCATCCTACCAGGTGGACTGTCGATAGTGTCGATGTTTTCATAATTCATCTTGAAACAATTATTTTGTATTAATTTATTTTTTTGTAAAAGTGACGCATCTTATTCAAAAAGCAGGTCTTTGCCACGAAAACCTTCGTCACTGTTTCCCAACAAAAATCACTTTGAACGATGGCAGGCGGGGGAATAAATGCCCATTATTTAGGCATTTATGGGGTTGCGACCTCTTAAAAGCTTCGGCTCTGCACATAAGACCATCGCAGCACGCTTCCTTTTTGAATAGATGATGTCATTGCGCGTTTAAATATTTAATAACATGTGAAATGTATTTCGTTTTCCTGAATAAAAAGTTCTTAAATTTCAAACAAAAAAGTCGTTTTTAAATAAATTGTCAAAAATACATTGAAAATAGAAATATCCAATTGTCCTTTATAAATTTTTGGAGATGTACAAATGAAATTAATTAACAAAATTTATTTTGGCATTAACCGTGACTTAATTTGAGCGGAATAAATGACAGCAACTGTTTTGAAATAATAATTATCCAAAAAATTTGTTACATTGAGTTTTTCGTCACAAATAAAGTCGGAGGCGAATATCCGGTAACCACATAATCTGGTGTGTATATTTAATTAATCAATCGAAACGTGCTAAAATAATTATATTCCCAATGATATTGAAACAATAATCAGTATTTGCCTTTTTAACTGATACACTGGACGCTAAAAAATTAGCAATTTTTTTTTCGAGTGCTAACTCCATACCTTACTGTGTGATCGTGATCGCATCACACGCAAGTTGGTTACTAGTGCTCTCTATATTATCCGCACGGTGCTTTGAGTACCAATAGTGGAGGAGGTGATGCTTTGTGTGTATGTATTTATCAGTCAATTAGCGGAGCACCACTAAACCCTGATGATAGTCTACCCGTCTGCAAACGAGCGGCAAACAACTTGGTCTCTGACAAACACGATTGCGTAAACATTTTGTGTATGTGCTCTTCCAATTTTGAGGACCTCAGCTGATGCCGCAGTTCGCTGGCAGCGTGGATGCAGGACAGTTCAGCAGGTATTTTCTTTTTTCAAATTATTTTTTCCTATAATTTATATATTTAAATGTGAAGAAAATGGATGAATCGACGGCGATCGTCCAGCTGACCACGGCATGTCCGTGCTGCAACCACGCGCACCCCCAGCAGTTGCCGCCAGCGTCCACCTCCAACCCCACAATTCCGAAATCAATTCATGAGAGGGCGAGATTGTCACCCGTGGCCACGCCGTCGGTGAGCGTTTCGGATATCCCACAACAAGTGCAGCGCAACACAAGAGCCAGCCTGAGTGGCAGTCAAGCGCTGCTTAACAGTATCACTGGTGGACTATTCTCAGGTTAGCAAAGGCAAATTGATTTTTTTTTTTGCATGATGAATTTCAACTCTTGATTTTGAATTAAAAAGCTAGAAATAATGCATTTTACAACGAGTGAACTTTTTTATTTTGTTCTTAGAAACTGCAAATAATTTTGGTTAATTTACTTTGCTTTAGTGTCATACCAAAAGTATAGAAGCTTGAATTTAGGCAATTTGCTGTACATCAGTGCTAAGCAAGTTGCATGTTTTCATCTTTATGTTTTGTGGGCCACGCGGAAAACAGTCTTATTAACACTTATTAATGTGTGTCCTTTTTCTGATGGTGCAGAGATACCTAATGTTGTCTTTTCCTTGCTTAAAAAAAGGAGCCTTTTAATTACATATTGAATTTATAAGCTTCTGTAAGCCAACATAAATGAAAATCCTTGATTTTTTTTCTCAAAAAGTCAATCTCTGAATTTATTCATTATTTAACTTTAATTGTGACGAATTTTATGCTTGATTTTAATTCTTCTGTGAGAATCAAATTGCATATTATAATAAATGCTTTTTGCAGTTCAATATCTAAAACATTTTTTCTCATTAGGTGAAAGACGAAATTCAACGGCATGGAACACCCGAGTGGGTTTGGGCGAGAGAAGGCCCTCGGCGCTCATCCAAATGGGCAATTGCGGTGCTTGCGGCGAACAAAGACGCTACTTGATGAGGTGCTTTCCTCTTTAATTAATCGTCTTCCATAAATATTGTTTCGGTTTTTCGATTTTGTTCCATTTAAAGCTTTATGCGCGGGGCCCAACAGCAGCAGGCGGCGGTGCGCTCCCCCGTGGTCTTGGAACCTGCAACACCCATGTTGGCGCTGCAGGAGAAAGCCGGGCCTAATTCCACCGGCAACTCTTCCGCAGTCGTACCCAGAGGCTCCACGCCACCCCCACCCTCTTATAACGAGCTGCCCGCAAGGGGTGCGAGGAAGAAAAAGAAAATCATTTGCAAAAAGGAGAAAAAGTATATCCACGATACTTTTATATAAAAAGGGGCAAAGAAAACTTGCTAATAAAATCAGACATTAATTCCTGGGAAAGAGATCTCTTCTTTTTCTTTTGTTTAACATTTCACGAGCTTTTCAGGGACGACGGTTCTACCGCGGGGCTTTCGGCTTTGTACGCAAAGCTGCTCGTTGTTTTGGGAATCGCGCTGCCTGTCGGAGAAGTTCTTTCCGATAAAGTTCCTTCCACGTTGGACCAAGTTCGTGAGAGACATGAATTTTGCATGACACGCCCCAGCTAGAGAATCGGTCCGCTTATTTCATTCCATTTTTCTTTCTTTTAGATTTTCTACATGTACCTTTACGCCGGCAGCTTGGTTTTCATGATGTACATGTACGCGACGCTGCTGACGGACCGCGCCGTTTACTCCATGGTCAGCTCGTACAGTAAGCATAAATGAGTCCATTAGCAGGCGCCCCATGAGATGGAAAGCTCTCACTTTTTGCTAATCAGGTATTGACGTTGAGGGAGATCAACGGGAAGTTTACGTCCGAGCCCAGAGGAGGAGATGCGTTCCTGTCGTTCGCTACGGCAGCTTTTACCTGCGGGCGAGTGCCATTGGTAAAAAATTTCAAATCGGCGTTGAGAACAAAAATGTTGAAATTTAATAACCAACAAAATCTAGCGTTTGGAATTGGCAGCATGATTTACTCTGGTCTGGAAGTTGCAAAGTACTTCGAACTGGACCACGAGTGCAGAAAAGTGATGCTGGTCTTGACTCCAGCGACAAGGCTGGTGTTTACAATTGTGCAAATTCAATTTGTGTTCCTCAACAACAGAGTAAGTTTTTATATATTTTAACAGAATTGGTAAAGATTTAAAAAGCAAAATACATTTAAAAATAAAAAAATTATTAACATTATTTTTTTTTTCAAAAATTGATATTTGTTATTTAGTTTTTGCAACAATATATCTTTATTTTTTGTCGCCCCAATAAAATGCGCCTGAATGACTCTAAGTTTCAAGCAAGTCAATATTAAGATGTATTTAATATATTTATAACCTTAGAGCCACTAGAATTATGTATTAATTGTTGTAACATGAATATAACTATTACTTTTTAGCAAATTCTTCTTTGTGGACATTTTATTATTATTAATTTGAAAAAAAAATTAATAATTTGACCATATTTAAACTATGGTATTATCATAAATTATATTCAGTCATTAGGTAATATATTTATTAATTTAAAATTAAAAAAAATTAAATTAAAAAACAATAAAACTAAAATACTTTTTGGGACTATTTGCAGAATTTATATATTCCATGACTTTATTTATTTATTTTTTTTTTTAAATAAAAAAAGACTTGCTTCAAAACAACATAATCTATATAGCTTGTCAAAATAATGTTAATCTCGTTTGTTGAAAAAAAAAACTTGTTTACCAGTTTATGAACTATTTCAGATTGAAATGGGACGTTACAAATTAATCGCTCGTTTTGGCTTGATGCACATGGTGGCCACGAATCTCTGCGAGTGGTTGTACGTGCTGGTCGAGGAGACCAAACACGAAATCCACCACCTGGCGCACCACCTCAACACTTCCCATCACGAGCTGTCGGTGGAAAACTCAACCCTGCTTTTGGCTCGTCACGCCAGGGCCGCGGATCTGCAGGGCGAGTGTCTACGTCTGAACATCCTCGGCTCGTTGGTGGAAAACGCCAGTCCGTACCTGTTCCCATGCACCATCGAGTACAGCCTCATCTCGGCCGTGATTCTATACGAGATGTGGCACAACGTGCACAAGGTGGTGGAAAAGAAGGCCGAAGAAGGCCGTCACACCGATAAACAAGTCAACGCACACCACTTTTCCGTCGACTGCTCAGGGGCGCACAGTGGACTTTTCAGCGGCATCATCATCCTTGTGCTCACTGCCATTTCACTCATCATGTTTTTCGTGCTCATCAGGGAGCCGACGCACGCAGACATAGCAGTTTTTCAGGTAATTTCTATAAAATTTTTCATTCAACAATTTTACTTCAAAAACGGCGTGGTTTAAAATTTACAGTTTCACTGTAAATGGTTAAAAATTACATGAAAAATTATAATTTTCTAAAAAAAAGTTAATTCTCACGACTGAAAAAAGAAATGAGATGATATAACAGTTCATATTATAGTAAGATTGATATTTTCCTATCTTGAAAATCTGTTTTCTGCATAAATCTGTAATTACTGATTCGCCTAAAGATGCAAGTTAATTCTTCTAGCATAAAGCTCTGGGTTCAAACCGTTCAAATACTTCTTTTGGTGGAAAAAATGATAAATGGTAAACTTTTGATGAATCCCCCGTTTCAACCCTCAAAAATGATTTTTTTTTTTTTTTTTAAATTTTGATTTCACCTAAAACATTTTGAATTAAATAATGTAAAAAAATATTGTCGAAGGGGCCCTATATCATCATTTTATTTTTTAAATTTGTTTATGATCAAGAACAACGACTTTTTCTAAGTACAAGAAAGTGTTAGCATTATTTCATAATTAGAATAATATGTATAATTATATTGCACAATATAATTATTCTTATATCAAATTGTATTTTTTTTATCATTTATAAGTTGTGAGGAATCAGAAATATGAATAGCATAGGGAATTCATTAATTCATCTAAACAGTGGAGGAAGTTCAGTTCTTTGTTAAAGCATGTTATTAATTAAGAGCTATACATTAAGAAAAATAAATAAATGAAGAAATGTTTTTTTTTTAACACGCCCAAAAGGATTTTGTGTAGGAAAGTGATCAAAGCAGGCTATATAGTTTTCACTCTCTTGCAACTAATGCAGCTACTAATTATTCAAAATTACTTACAGTTCTTTTCGCAATCGACCATGATTTAAAACTGACATAATCAATTAAAACAGGGGAATTTTATAAGTTTTTAAAGTATCTATTTAGGGTTTTGAAAATTTATTTTACTTGTAAACATTTATTTCAAAAAAATAAATCCCCAATTTGAAAATTGAACTTGAGCAAGATAATTAATAAATTTAATCTTATACCTTTTAGGTGACAATGTGCGAGCTGGTCCTGTACGCCTTGGCCACGGTGGCGGTGGTGGTGTGCATGCTTCAGATGCGCAGCCTGGAGTACCGCCACGGTTCGCAGGCCCTCGACTGCGTTTTGATTGTGGTGGCCCAGACGGGCATGTACGTGTACTGCCTCTTCTCGATCGTGGGCAGCTACTTCAACCCGCTCGCGCCCAGCGGAGGCTTTTTGGCCGAGCTGTTTTCCCTGCTGCAGACCACGTGCCAGACCGTGTTCATCCTGGACGCGTGGTGGCGCCGCAGCGAAAACGCCACCCAGGTGCGCAAGAAGCCCGGCCGCCAACTGGTCACCTTCCTGCTGGTCGTCAACCTGGCCATGTGGACAATCAACAGTCTCGAGAAGAACAGGGCCGAGTTCCGGCCGACGCACCTCGAGTTCTACGGCGTCTGGGCTTGGACCATCATCACACACGTCAGCATGCCCCTGGCCGTTTACTACAGGTTCCACTCGACCGTGTGTCTTTTGGAAATTTGGAAAACGGCTTTCAAACTTCGGCAGTCAGAGCAAAAGCATTGAAATTATTAAATTGTGTGCAGAAAATGGTTCCTTATACTATTTTAATTTGTTAAATTCGATGGCAGTTTTTATTAAAACTAAAATTAATAAAATCAAACTTTACTACAAACAAATTGTAATTTTTCCATTCTCTGTTTAGTGAATGTAAACGACATCCTTTAATTAAATTAGGAATTTGCCCTGGACAAATTAACTATATGCTATATTTAAAACCACGCGAAAACAAGAAATATGTACAAATTGGGTCTGAGTGATGTACTCGGTAGACTCATGGAGGGAAAGACGAGCTTAGAACTTATCGAAACAATTTTTCATGAAAAAATTCATCGTGAAAAACATTTCTTTTCAATAAATTTATCCATCTTCCACTCCAAAAATTTTATATTGAAACTAGGAATTATTAGAGCAACATTTAATAATTTAGTATAAATGTATCCATAGAACAAAAAAAAAAGAAATTTAAAATGAAAACAATAAATTATATTAAAATATAGGTGAAAAGAGAGAACTTTCATTAATTAAAGGGATCACAAATAATACATAATATCAGAAAAAAATAGTTCTACATTCAAATGATGATGAAAAATAGTTCTTCAATCAAATGATGTTGAGATATAGTTCTACATTCAAATGATGATGAAAAATAGTTTTACATTCAAATGATGATGAAAAATAGTTCTACACTCAAATGATGTTGAAAAATAGTTCTACAATCAAATGATGAAATAAAGTTCTTTTAATTTTACATGATTTCACAATAATAAAAAAATTTGTATTAGAAAATAAAATAGCTTTAACTTGCTACTTGTTAACTAATTTTTTATTTTTTTATTATATCATTTTGTTTAAAAAAAATTATTTAAAAACAAAATATGCAATCGAAATCGTATGAAAACGTAAGTATATAAAAAAGTTAAAAGTTGAAATTTATTATATTAATTAATCAAAGCTTAACCTTCTGTGCCGTCGAACTATTATTTCACGGTCAATTTGATGAGGTAGCCAATTGCGCTGTAACTTTGCCAAGAGCTATTAATTGAGGGATCAAGCAAGTAGGAAGGACAATTAGCATTTTGACACGTACGTGCTGCGAAAGGCAATGTCGGTTAAGAAAACAAGGGAGGCACGTGCAGCGATTGTTTTTTTGGCGCAGGTGGGATCGCACCTGTACTGCAACAAAGGCATAAACTTGCTAGTCTTTGTGCTTTCTTGCTCGCGGCACTCGCCACTTGCAGATCCGTTTGCAATGGCCCAGCAGCAGCAACAACTGTGCGCACATCACCAGAGGAGCTTTGTTCTCAACCGCAAGACGCCGACGTAAGTCAAATCTAAAATCAATATTTTGGCAGACGGTGTTTCTTCCGACTTAAGTATTGTTTTGACATTTTTAAATCTGCTAAAAGATCTAAAGGGAAGGCAAAATTCATTGGAAAGTATAAAATGATGCCTGTTGTTTCAGAATTTAATAATATACAAATAATTTAATTTTTTTTTTATGAACTATTGAATTTAACATAATTAAGTCTCCAGGAAGAAGGGTTCAAAAGATAGAAGAAAATTTTTTTTTTTAAATTGAAAAAAATTATTTGAATTTCAAATTATTGAACGATAAAAAGCAGAAGTTTTAAAATTAATGGGCTCATAACATGACGTTTGTTTAGAGCAATCAAAACATTATCAGATCTCATCTTCCCAGATCTGACGAAATGAACGCTATCCCGTCGGTTTTTCAAATTAATTAGGTATGGAAGAGCAGGAAAATTGTAGCCCGTCTGGCTTTGTATCAATACGGAAATTTGTAAATAATGAGGCATTTTCCTCTAATTAACAGAAAGCGCTGATTCTTGAATTTTAATGCGCTCTTCTACATAATTTATATTTAGGGAAATAAAAATACCTGGAGTAGTTTGACTTTTGTTTACACTCTCTAAAAATAATTACATGAGAAATATTGAAGGCTAAATGGGTACACATTTCTTGAAAAAAGTCAACGGTGGACCATAACATTAAAAAAAACTTATTTTTCATGTTAATTTATCATTCTAAAAATTAGTAAAAAAATTTTATAAGCTTTATATCATTAACATATTTTTCGCTGAATATTTTTTGTGTGTCAATCATCCCATTTTTAAGTTCGATTCAAGTTGACGTTCAAAACAGTTTATTTTGGTTAGTGTGAAAAAAAAAGATAAAAATGCAAAAATTTTGCTCCTATTTCAGTGATCAAAAACAACCCATACGCAACAGCAAGCCTCTTTCATTCTTAAATTGACCTGTTTGCGGCATGTACGACTGGCTGACTTGGCATTTTTGGCCGAGTTAAACAAGTAAAACAGACTTAATTGTGAGCTTCGTAGGTCAATTTGCAAATCGAGAACGAGAAGGGAACTTACTTTTCCGTTGGCGAGTCCGACTGGCTTGCGAGCTCCTCTGCCGAGTCACTGGAGTTTTCCGTCTCATGTTGCATTTCGGCCGATTTTCGCCTACATCGGGCCGAATTCGGGCTCCTTCTTGACCCTGGCAAAGTACGATGAACTGTGTCAACAAAAAAAGCCATTACTAATTATGTGGGAGTGTCGGATTGTTTTAGTGGGAGAAAATCGGGAATGAGCGGGAACGAGTTTCGCAACCCGACTTTTTTAAAGTTGTCCTGAAGGAATTTATCAATATATCGTTCTGATTGAAAGTTTTGGAGATTGAAACTTTTAAAATTCAGAATAATTTAGGCATGAGGAAAATCGCTGCGTAATTTATTTTTTGATCCGAGCAGCCCTTCCTTGTCGCGTTATCAGCATAAACACGCGCCGGCCTCTGCTTGTCGCTTTGCTCGGCTGCTGCACTCTCGGCGGAGAGCGGCGCGCTCAATTTATTGTTAGAGCGAATTTAATATTTTTTGGTTAGCGCTGCGATTAATATGTCAAATTTACAGCTTTTGTAGTTAACTAAACTGATCAATTTGAGATTTTATTTTTATAAATTCTGTACATTTGCGTTTTCAACGCAGACGAAGTTGATCGCACTTCCAATTAGAAGAACAATTAACGGCTTGTAAATATATCCTTAAATTTAATTCTGATCTGAGGCAAATTGATATAGGTTCTCTGTCAAACCATTGAAATTTTATAAAAACTATTTAAAATTCATTTATTAATTTATTATCATTGTAATTTTATTATTATTTATCTGATCAAAACAATTGTTTTGTGGGAAAAGTAGATATTTTTGTTTGTTTTGTAACGATCGAACGGCAAAAACAATGTCGATTACCGGTGGTGTCGTGCACCTGACAGGCCATTTGTATATTTTTTTCACGTCACAATTTTCCACCAGCGATTTACAATGGGCACGTTTTGCAGCATATCTGAGAACGGAGGCGGCGAGGAGCCCGAAGTGGAAGCCGCCCACTCGAGCCGCCCAACCCTGCTGGAATTGGCTCTGCACAACTCGAGCCAGCGCTTCTGGTAACCTGGAAACCGAGCAGACACACACACTCGATTTTATTTTCCTCTCTCTGCTTTAATCCGCTCGGAATAAACTAATTTGTCGGGGCGACTGCGTTTCAAGCTTAACTCTTTCAGGGCGCAGCAGGACGTGATTTCGCCATTGTTGTCCGCGGGAACGGCGACGACGGCCGCCCCCGCGGGTCGTTCGCAGAGGTCGTTCAGTCTGCCCTTCATCCAGAAACCCTGCATCGAGGGCGAGACGTTTTCACGCAAGCTCGGCGTGTACGTGGAATTTTTTAATTACGCGTTGGACCGAATTAATTTTCGCTCTCATTACCAACAGGGACGCGCTTTTCACCACAATTTCTGCCCTTTATGGAAAGCTGCTGGTCGTCATGGGGATCGCTTTCCCGATGGCCGAGGTTATTTCCACCAACGTCCCCGTTTCGTATTACGAGGTGATCTTTCCCCATCGGTTTTTTTACCGTATGATAAATGTGTTTGAAATTTATTTTCGCAGGGCTTTTACCTCTACCTTTATTTTGTAAGCCTGATTTTCCTTTTCTGCATGTACTGCACCTCTTTCTCGACGTCCCGCTCTTTGAAATCAATTTCTGGTAACATGAAAATCCGCTTATATTTTTTTTTCAATTTCACCTTTTCACACATTTGCACATTTTCAGGCCAAAGAAAGTTTTTCGGCGAATCAGCCCGGACGCCCGATGACGAGGAAAGTGACGGGGCCACGCAGCAAAAATTGTTGAGACTACCAAGAAAACAGACCAGATACGGCAGCTTTTATCTGAGGATGGGTGCTGTTGGTATAAAAATGAGCTTTTTCGAGGAAATGATTAAGATAATTTTCAACAAAGCATTCGGCATTGGAAGCATGATATATTCTGGACTGGAGTTTGGTCAGTACTTTGAGCTGAAGAAAAACACAAAATGTCACAACGTTTACCTGGCGATTACCCCAATCACAAGGATGGCATTCATCATTGCTCAGATGATGTTTATTTTCATGAAAAATATCGTAAGGCAGAGAATAATATATTTTGAATTAATCTTTTAAATACATAACTTCTTTCGGGGAAAACTTGCAAACTTACCAGATAAAAATGTTTTTGGGAAAATATAATGAATTGATTTTGAAGACAAGTTTCTCTTTTATAGCACTTTGAATCTAGACCCCAGCTAAGATTAGTCCTGCGATTTGGACTGATGCACATGATCGCCACGAATCTTTGCGTGTGGTTAAACGTCTTGATCCAAGAGACAAAGCACGAAATTTTGACCTTCTATGACCCAAACAATTCCAACGCAAATGCATCAGGTTAAAAATATTTATCAATAAATTATTCTAATTTTTTAAATTTATTGGAATTTATTGACAATGGTATTTTGATTGATAATTCAAATAATTTTTAAACCGATTAGATGTTATATTTTTACTAATATTTCAAAGTAAAAATCAGCGCAAAAATTGTGTTAAATTTGTTTGAATTTTAGTAACTTCAAATCTTTTGAACTATTTTTAGATTGAATTTTCCAATTTTTAAAAAAGAAATCTTTCTTACTTTATTTCATGCTCAATTTAGCCACGTTGAAACAATATTGTTTTTTAACAGCAGCGAATGTTTGTTGATGCAGCGAATCACCTGTTGGGGGTCAGTTATTTTTAATTTTTTTTAACGTGGCTAAAAGTGTGGGTGCAATTTTTTTTATCATTTTTTTAAAATTATTTTATATATGAAATTAAAATGCTTTGCAGATGTAATAAATAATAATATAAATATGTACTTTCCAGTTTTCATGCAAAATGAGTCTCTGGTCGTGGAAAGAGAGAAAAGAGGCCTCGTCGGTAGGCACGACCTCTTCGAGTGCAGACGGACCAACATCATGGGTTCGTTGGTGCAAAACGCGAGTCCTTTTCTCTTTCCGTGCACCATCGAGTACAGTCTGATCTGCGCCGTGATCCTGTACGCCATTTGGAAAAGCGTGGCGTCTGGGCCCGGCGAGCCGTCTTCAGGACGCAACCTGAGGTCCGGCGTCCGATCTGCGGGCAAGATCGTGAGTCACCAGGCGTCGCAGCATTTTTCCGTCGACTGCGCCAACGCGCACCGCGGCCTCTTCAGCGGCATTCTGGTGCTCGTGTTCACCATCATTTCGCTCATCATGTTCTTTGTGCTGCTCAAAGAAGAGGAGTTCGCGCTCATTGCGGTTTACGAGTTCAATATTTGCGAACTCACTCTCTATGTGACCACTACAATTGCCTGCCTCTGCTGCATGTTCCAGATGAGGAACCTCAAGTATGAAAAACTTAAAAAAAAATATTAAAAGTGAGGTTTTATTCAAATCAATAATTTAAAGAAATTATTGAAAATGTACATAATTTAAGTCAATACGATTTTTTTAAATCAAAGGTAGTCATCGAAAATTCCTAAATTTGAAGTTATAAAAATTCTGATTAAATTTAAGCGGCTGCGTTAAGGTGAATTGTCAGTCCAAATATTATGTGATTCTTGGCTAAAACGTAATTACATATGGGCTTTTAAAATAGTTTGATTGTAATTTTAGATTAAAATTTGTTGTTAAAAAATTTAATTACCACCAATATATAATTGTAGAGGAGGACTATAGCTTTATTAATTAATTTAATTTAAAATACGTATACATATACATATAAGTTTGTTGCCAACAATGCCAACCATATCGGTTAAAAATGGCCCTAATTTTTATTTTGAATTCGTTAAACTTCATTTTTGTTTTGGTCTGTTGACAATAAAATAATCGAATTCATCTAGTTATTTGTGTAATTTCACTTTCAGATATGATTTGCGTCGGACTTTAGATCTTGATAACATCCTTTTAATCATCGCCCAGTCGGGTCTGTACATTTACAGCATGTTCTCAATAATCGCTGGCTTTTTCTCTGTTGATGTAACTCGTCCCGGAATTTTGACCACGGCCTCATTTTCTCTCATCCAAACAACCTGCCAGACGATATTTGTCTTGGACGCCTGGTGGAAAAGGTAATTTTTTCTTGCCAAAAATTAATCGTACTTCTTCATTTTTTATTCCTTTTTTTAAGATGTTCAACCGCGCAAGACATTCGTCGCAAACCAGGTCGCCAGCTGGTGACTTTCATGTTGGTGACCAACATGGCCATGTGGACGGTGAATCGGCTGGAAAACACGCGGGCCGATTTCCACCCTGTGGAGCTGCGCTTCTACGGCGTCTGGGCGTGGACCATAATAACTCATGTCAGCATGCCGCTGGCAATTTTCTACAGATTCCACTCGACAGTTTGCCTCTGCGAAATTTGGAAGAGCACTTACAAGATGAGACTGGTGCCTTAAGTGAGGTGCGCTGTCTGGCTTTACAGCCACTATGGCGTTTTTTGCGACGCAATACAATGGCCCTAAAGTCTACGATTTAATATGATGCTTATTCTTTTGTAAAATGTAATTTTTATATTGAGACGAAAATTTATTAAAAAGATTAATTTTTTCCATCCAAAATCTTTGTTTCTCAGAGCATAAATGAAACGAATTGCGTGGGAAGATGAGTTGTTGGGAATCAAAGAGAACAGCGTGACTTCTTTCCCTTTGCATCTCTCGAGCTTGGAGTTATATTTCCCGAGAACCCAGACACACAAAGAGATTTTCCCTCTGTTGTTGTATTTTTAGCATTCACTATCCATTAGTCAGATTTATTTTCTATCTTGTGATATAAAAAAATGATTCAATGATTCAGAAAAAATACCCAAATTATAATAAGATAAAATATAAAAGATGAACAGAAATTTTGTGGTCTAAAAAATTTATTTTAGAAGACATATATGGATAAAAAATCTCATTATTTTTAGTGAAATACCAAGAAGTTTAAATTATAAATAATATATCCAAAATTTTTGCAAATATTTAGCAAGATATTATTGTATAAAATCCATTTAAATGAAAAATAATTATATTTTTTATTTTAATTTATTTATTTATTTATTTAATATTTAAAACGAGACTAATTTTTTAATAAAATACAACAACAATAAGCAATCAAATGGAGAAGTAACTTTTCTCAATGATGCATTAATTAACTGTCAGAATCGACTTACGTAAGAATAAAAGGAATAGTTTAATTTAAAGTCTTTTTGAACAATCAATATAATTATGAAAGCAATCTGTAGGAATATGAATATTAAAACCATGATTTTCGCAATCAGACAGGTGCACGTACTACATAAATATGACCAGGCAACAAAGCCTTGGCGCGCATCAACAAACAAACAACCCTTTCATCACCAGCGAGCAGGGTATACGCGCAGAGCAGCGATGACGGGTTTTTTTCAATCACGAACTTGCAAATCAATTAATCCCCGGCGCATTGCAAAGCACACAAACGCGCAAAACAAAACTGTCATCGTGCATATGTGTGTATGGAGTTTCAATTAACACAACAGAGAGCGGCCGACGGTAGCTTTTGGCCCTCGCTTATGATGCACACGCTCTGGCTGGCTGGTTCTACAGTAGCGCTCAATAAAAATGATAAATAGCCGATGTTATTGGCTCTTTGAGTGACAAACACAGAGCCAACACACAAACACACGGGTATGGACGCAGGTCGATAATTAAAGGAGCACATATCGGTGCTAATTGCAGCAGACCGCATCCGCGCACTAACCATTAGTTGGCCACTGGTCAGGCCTGTGGTTGCAGACGTCGATACGGAGAATGGCCGGCAAGAACAACCTGGCGCTGGGCGTTGAGGCCCCCGACCGATCCCGGGGGCGGCCGATTTTTACGGCGGAGCAACTGGCCCAAATTGAAGAAAGGAACAGACAAGCCAGAAAGGAGGGAGAGTAAGAGTGGAGACAAAATAAAAACACTTTTTTTAGTTAATAAATTTTATTAATAAGCCATAATATTTAAAGGGAGCCGAAGCTTTCAGATAATTAATATTCCGTTGCTTATAGATCACTGCATAGTGCTTGAAATGTTTCTTAGAAAATTGGTTTTGTACAAATATTTACGGAGTTTTATAATTTTCTATTAAAAAGCATTGCCCCATAGATCGATGCTCTCGGGGCGCGGAGCTTTTGTAGTACATGCATTTTAAAATTTTGTTCCGAAAATAATTTACTTTCAATTAGAAACGTTTGAATCTTTGCGAGAAAATCTATTAGTTTTGAAATATTGATTGTATGAAAGCTCCGTTCTGACCTCTTTAATTACTTCTAGTTTTAATTCTCATATTTTTATGATTTTAATTTCATTTTAAGAATAATTTTTTCGCATTTGCCACTTTTCAGCGATGCGCTCACTAAAACTCTCTCAGTTTTCTACTGCAAGTTACTCGTAGTTTTGGGCATAGCTTTTCCAGTGACGGAAGCCCTCGCTCCTGAAATTGCAACGAATATTGCCTATGAGGTTCTCACGTTTGTCCCTCTCAGATCTTTTCAATTTAATATTAAAACTGCGTCTTTCCTCCAGGCCTTTTACCTCTTTTTGTACGGGGGCAGTGTCGCTTATGTCCTTTACATGTACACGACCCTAACGAGGGACGAGACCGAGGAGGAGACGCCACTCAATCCATCAGTCCTGACCGTCCCACTGCGAACCCCAGCCAGTGAATCGAGCGCATCTATCACAAGTGAGCCCTCTAACTTTACGAAATGGACAAAAATTCAATATTTGTTATTTGTCCTCCATGAATAACATCCCGAGTTCGTTTGAAATGATCTAAAAGGAACTGGACCAGGAAAATACTTCCTTGGGAAAATATCATCATAATATCTGATGTTTTCTTCCTTCTATTTAAATGCACTGCACCCTTAGCCTCGTCATATATTTACCTCTTTGCAAGTTTGCGAGAGCGATATTATGCAACCAGCTCTTATTTGAACAACACAAGCAAACATAACTAGGATGACGAGTGGTGCACGTACATTTCAAATTACGTCAAAGCAAAACGCCTGACTCTGTTTGCTTATGCAACTGGCAGCAATATTGCGTTTAGCAGGTTGCCTATTACTTTTGAAAAGATGCTCCAAGTGAGCAATAACGTGCACGCGCACGAGTTGCATTCAACTTGTTGCCGCTTCTGAGGTTAATTAACATTTATAGGAAATCGAAGGAGGAGCAGTTTGTTTGGAATAGAAATTGCTCCGACCTGGCGACAGGCCCCGGAGGCGAAGATTGCCGGGCAGGAGCACGTGCGATATGGAAGTTTCTATTTGCGACTTGGAGTGGCTGGTTGGTACATTTATAGAATGAGATCAAATCAATATTTTGAATGGGTTTATAGAGATATAAATTGATGGTAATCTTCAAACATACATTATTATGAGTTTTGACCAGTCTTTTTATCTTTATAATGTTTAAAGAAAATAAATAATGAAATCCATTTACAATGCAATATTATATTTATTACATTCTCTATTTTTTATCTTAAAAGGAACTGAAACTTACAAAAAATATTTTTATTTTATGAAATTTTAAAATTTCATGATGGAGATCCGATATATAATAAATTATTTTGTGAAACGAAAAAAATCAATTTATTTTTTAAAATTTTTTTGGGGCAACAATTTAAACCGCGCTTAAGAAGCTTCAAAAGTTAATAATATATTGTCGCACTAACATTGACTATCATAATGTCATAAGCAACAACACAAAAAAAGTAAAAATTGCACTTCATCGTTAAGCAAAAATGTATTCGGATATCGATTTTGGAATTTTGGATTTTGTAAATGTCAAAGTTATACCTCGATTACCTATTTAATTTGAAATATTATTAACTATTGGGGAAATATTTTGGTTCAGAGTATGTATTGAAGTTAGTTAAATTAATTTTTTTTTGTCACAATAAAATAAAAATGTAATATTTATCTTCCAGCCTTTGGGATTGGAAGTATGATTTATTCCGCACTGGAGTTTGGTCAGTTTTTCGAGCTGAGAAAAATCGACCAATGCAGAAATTTCTTCCTGGCACTCTCTCCGCTATGTCGAATCGCTTTCGTGCTAATTCAGATGCTGTTCATTTTCGCCAATAACAAGGTTGCTTAAAAGAAAATCTGCTTTATGTTTGAATTTGCAATTTCACATCACCACTTTCCAGCTGATGGAAATCTACAGGTATAAAGTGATCGCAAAGTTTGGTCTGATGCACATGATCGCGACCAATTTGTGCGAGTGGCTTTATGTGCTGATTGAGGAGACCAAAAGCGACATTTATAACATCAACAGGGTGACGCACCACTCTCGGCACGACTCGACGGAGGACGAAGGTGAAAGAGCGTAGCTTTCCCGAAGCCCTTTTCAGGAAAATTTTTATTTCCAGATGATTCGACGTTCGAGCGGAGTTTGTGGTACGAAGACGACGAGTTTTTACTCAACCGAAGCCTGACGTCGCACGAGTGCTATAAAACCAACATCATGGGCAATCTGCTCAAAGAAACTAGCCCCTACTTATTCCCCTGCACTGTCGAGTATTCTCTGCTGTGCGCGGTCATTCTGGCTGTCATGTGGAAAAATGTGTGCGGACGAGCTTCGAAAAACCCGTCGCGGCCGAGAGAGAGCGGACTCAACTTGATTTACAGGTACGGAGAGAGCCACAGAAAAAAATTTGTACTAGAGAGTGAACTTTGAGAACTCAATCAATACAACTCGTTGACTGCCGAGTTGTTTGCTTTTTGTAAAGTGGAGCTATTTGTCACAAGCAAAGACTAATGACAATGCTTTTTGGGAAATTTTTTTCGGTCCTTACTGCAGTCAGCTGCGTGTCATGCGGACGTAAATTTTCCTTTTTTCCACAAATATTTAATATTTTTAAATACTTTGACAGAATTAAGATATTCTGGGTTTTTTTTAAATTTATTTGTAAAAGAATTGCAATTATATTAAAATAGTGTGTAATTTTTTGGCTAACCACTGCAAGTATTATTAGAAAATCCAATTATTTTACTTTTTTTATTGTGACCTTTTCATCAAACTACGCTTCTATCTTTGAAAATCAATGCTGGCAGAAGTTTCAGATTACGAAATTAAAGTCTATTTTATTTTTTAATAGAATATTAGATAGGATTGTTATTGGGGGAAAAAGTGATAACTTAAAAGATGGTATTTATAAATTTCTTTTTTTAAATGATTTTTTTTTCTTTTTAAATTAAAAGTCGGTATTTTATTTAACGAGAGACCTTTTTTACAGCTTTTGTCAGTCTATAACAATAAACTGAGAGGCAAATCAATTTTATCAAGTGTTTGTTTTTAAGAGGGCTGCCGTTTCTTTTTGTATTTATTTTCTGCTCCTTTCAGCCGCTCAATGAACCAATTTTCCGTGGACTGCGCCAGTGCGTACAAAGGTCTCTTCGTCGGTATTGTGCTTGCAGTAATCACCATCATGTCGCTCATCATGTTCTTCGAGCTCGTCTATTTGCCCGGCTTTTCTTACGCAGCGGTCATCCAAGTGAGAGATTTCCCCCTTTTATTTACTGGGAAAAAAACTAATTGCTTGAATTGGCAGATAAACATCTTGGAATGCGCCTTGTTCTTCTCTGGAACGGTCGCTTCACTTATTCTGATGGTCAAGATCCAGAGAATTAGTATTTCGATGAATGCTGGACGATTTGAGTTGGAGCACATTTTGCTGGTAGTAACGCAATCTGGCGTATTTTTGTACTCCATGTTCCAGGTAAGATTGAGATGATTAATTTCTTTTATTGCATAATTTGGATGCCAAGCATAAAAAAATACAGTTGATCGATTTAAAAAAAATCACCAGTAATAATGTATTTTTAAAATTAATAATTAAATACAACTTTAAAAATTTCTCTTACAGATTAGCGATTTGTTTTTTAGGCGGATCAAAATAAAAATTTCAATTATTGAAAATTTGTGAAGTCATAAAATTTTACAGTACCGAAAATATAATAAAAGTCGTTTGTCAATATTGAACAAAATCTCCTCTCAATTATATAATATTTCTAACAATTTTATTTTATCTTTATTTCTACTTTTTCTAGGTAATAGGATCAATATTCTCGGCAGACTTTGAAGAGTTAGAAATAATATCAGTGATCAACATCGTCCTGCCGATCGGCGCCATCGTCCAAAGTGCCTGCCAAACGCTTGTTCTTTTGGACGCCTCTCGTCGCAGGTGCGACTCGCCGGGCCAAGTGAAAGAAAAGCCCGGCAGACAACTGGTTACTTTCCTGCTGGTGACCAACCTCGCGATCTGGGCGCTAAACCGACTGAAAAACGGAAGGATGGAGTTCAAACCGTCGCAAATCGACTTTTACGGACATTGGTCTTGGGCGGTGATCACGCACGTCTGCGTTCCACTTGTCGTTTGCTACAGATTTCAATCTACAGTTTGTCTGTACGAAGTTTGGAAGCGAGTTTATAAATTAAAGCCTGCTATTATTTGAAAATAATTGTGCATTTGTATTTTATTTTTAAAACAACATTTCGCAAACAGTAACAAAAACTTTTTAGGTTAATTAAATAAATTTCAAACGTGATCAAAATTTCATTTACCAAATTTAAAATTAAAATATGATTAAAGCTAACTTAATAACAACAAAATGCTATTATGCAAACCACATCATTAATTATACAAAATATTTTGATATAACTTTTTTTTTGCATTAATTTTTTTATTTAGTAGGTTGGAAAAATGGCACTGGAAACTCAGCGCCGGCTGGGACGTGCTAGTCTTGCACACTGTATGATTTTCGCAGCTTTTTGGCCCCGTGTTATTCGTTTTCACAGCGCGCGAGTCGCAGGCTCTAATCACATTAGCGCGAGCGGCACAGCTTCCGCCTAAAGCCAGTAAGACTGACGTCACAACAACTTGATTTTCCAACCGGAAACATCGCGATGTAACCCCACGAAGGGAGCCTGCCCGTTGAAAGCTATTTCGGCAGAGGCACCGGTCGCAAAACAAAACGCGAGCATCAACTCTATAAACAAGAGGGGAAGCGCGCTAATGTCCAGTTTTTCAAAATAAAAATGTACCAAAACGAAATCAAACAGCTTTAATTATATTCTTGTACGGAAAAAAATTACAAATATGATAAGAAACGTACGCTGGAAATGAAATTAATTTATTCCGTAAAATGCCAAAAATTCAATCCAATTGCTTTAAATTTAATTGACTTGATTGAATTGACTAATTTTATTGCAAAAAATTTACCCAAAAGTTTAAAAAATTTTCACATATGATACAATTTTTGCTTAATTAAAAGGAATTCATGTTCAAAATTTTAATTTTTAAATAATTGTGTTTAATTGATGATGGGAAATCTTTCATTTCAATTGGAAAAGAGCAAAAGTGTGACCAAATTTAATCCGAGTCTGAGATTTTAAACATTCCTCTGAATTAAATCCCTTAAAAATTTCATAATCTGAAATTGAATAGAGAAATTTTTATAGTTTTAAATTTAACGTCCTTTGACGTAAGTTGCAAATTGCTCTTTTATAATCCCTGCTAAATGGAAATCACGTTAAACATCATTCACTTCTGTTTGCTGAAATTAAATATTTTTGCCATTCTATTTACATTGTGCTTATATTTTTTCAAGGAAATTTGGAATGCAAAAAATGCACCCTTTCTCGCATTACGAGGGCGCCTACGAGGGTAATCTTGAGGATCAGCAAAGAACTAGTTGCTGCGCCGCTGATAATCAAAGTCAGCTTTCAGTCGGGTGAATAGGAGTCGAGTTATCGTGTGCGTGCGCCGCGCATAAGGCGAATATAATGGAGCAGTAATCATTTTACCTGTGCCGCCGCCGACGCTGCTGCTGCTGTGTTATATTGTCAGATATTCGCCTTTATATGGCTCAGTGATCCGATTAGAGACGAACCTTTCATGCGCTGACTCCTCCGAATTTATATTTTCACAATGGCGAGCGAGGCAGCTTGTTAATCTTGCCCTGCCTGTGCTGCCAGCCCAGAGAGAGAAAAGCGCCTCCGCTTATTCTCCGCCACCGTGCCTGCTTCTGCCGCTTGAATGCCAATTAATGCCTGATAAATCGCGATTATTAGACGCTCTCTGACCGAGAATTATACCCCTATGCATGCTCTAAAATGATCGCTGGAATCGCTGCAAAGCCCGCAAAGGGCAATTAGTGTAGCCAATGGCAAAATAATCATGGAGGTGGAGATTTGTCCAGAATGTTCAACCCATAAACTTATGTGTATCAATCAGCTATAAATAACAACCAATACATACAAACAGACTTCTGAAATTTCTGAATGCTGAAAACTACACAAAATAATGCTAGCAAATACATTTTTAGAATATAATTTTCACATAAATTTATTTTAAAGTATTTTAAATGCTAACATTTTATTTAGAAAAATAGTTTTAAGATCAATCTACAAATAATTTATTATTTTATATTTAACTTTATATAACTTTAATATTGTGAAAGGTATTTTTTAAATCAGAATATTCCAGTAAAAAGAGGTTTTTGTTTTTGATAAGAAATTTGTGTTTGCATCCGAGCGAGGGAACGTGACACCGAGAGCGATAACCTAGACCATTGACCTTCCAAAAATGCTCTCTTAAATAATGTTATCTCACTCTGGTCCCCAGCAGTTGCCGAAGGGAGCACCGCCAATTACTCCGGAATGGCTGGAAAGCATGTAATTTTGGCGTACAGCGGCGGGCTGGACACTTCTTGTATTTTGGCGTGGCTGGTGGAGAAAGGGTTCCAGGTGACGGCTTACTTGGCCGACATTGGTCAAGAGGAAAACTACGAGGACGTTCGAAAAAACGCCACTTTACTCGGTGCTCGGGAAGTAAGATACATTTTTTTTTCATTTTAAAAATAAAAAAAATTTTATTGAAAATTTATTTTTTAATTGATTTTAATTTTCAAATATATTATATAAAAAAATAGGTCATAATTGACGATCTAAGGAGCGAGTTTGTGCGCGAATTTGCGTGGCCTGGTGTTGCATGTGGTTTGCAGTACGAGGGTCGTTATCTGCTGGGCACCAGTCTCGCTCGGCCTGTGATTTGCAAAGGTTTGGTTCGAGCCGCCTTAGAGAGGAAAATTGGCTTTTTCGCCCACGGTGCCACCGGCAAGGGAAACGACCAGGTTCGTTTTGAGCTCGGATGTGCAGCTTTGGCGCCTCACCTGAAGGTAAATTATTATTTAATTCATTTCAGTTTGACTTTATTGCATTTAAATTTTTTCCATGTTTTCCTATTGCATTACTCTAATTTTATACAATAAGGCCATTGTTCCTTGGAGAGATGCCGAATTCACTGGACGATTTAAAGGACGGCAGGACTTACTTGCCTATGCCAAGGCCAAAGGATTTCCCGTCCCGGCCACCCCAGCCGCACCTTACAGCGTCGACAGCAACCTGCTTCACATCAGTTACGAGTCTGGTGTGCTGGAAGACCCTTCGATCCCTGCGCCAAAGGGCATTTTTAAAATGACTGTCAATCCTGAAGATGCACCCGACGACCCGGAAGACCTCGAGATTTCATTTGAAAAAGGTTTGATTGTTTTTTTTTAATTAAGAGTATTAAAATTATTCAGAGCTCTTGTTTTTCAGTCACCTTTTTTTATTTTTAGCTGAGATTCACTTAAGTTTGTTTTACCAAAAATTTAATAGAAAATTTCACAATATAGCGTAGCTTACTTAACGTGTAAGCTTGTAAAAAAATATCGTTTTATCTTAATAAAATTCCTTGATTTGAAGCATTTAATATAATTCAGAGCGACGTAGGAAAGACGCGATTGAGTTATTGGAAGGGCGTAATTACTAATTATCATTAAAAAGTTAACTCAACTCTTTGCGTCTCAAAAGTTTATTCAGGGAATATTTGCATAAGTTTGTTAGCCCACAGCAGTTGTTGTTTAGAGAGGCTGCATATTACGAAAGTAGAGTGAAATTAACTCATCCTTTTTGCAAAGGCAACGTTTTTGCTCTTTGAGAGGCAATGAGTGTTACGACCCTTGGGGTTTTCAGGGCTGCCAACGAGCGTCAAAGTGCTCCCCGACGGAGCAGAAGTGAGCAAAAGCCCTGTGGAGCTGTTCACCACTCTGAATGTCGTGGCTGGGAAGCACGGAGTCGGGCGTATTGACATTGTGGAGAACCGCTTCATTGGTCTCAAGGTATTTTCCGCTCGATCCAGCCGTCGTTTTGGCCTCAATGGCCCATTTGCATTTATTCTAACGGCCTCGTTTATTCCCACGACGGGATTCCCTGCTCTAATGTTTTAATTTGCAAAACATCAAAATGCTCCCAGAATAAGATATTTACTTTTAAATAACTCAATTTGGGGGGAAAAAACAATTTATAAAGAGTTTATGCAACTTGCTGCACTCCGAAGTAAAGCAGGTTGCATACGTTTTTATTATTATTAAATTTTTAATAAAACAAATTGCAGTCTCGCGGAGTGTACGAAAGCCCCGGAATGACTGCCTTATTTTTGGCCCATCTTGATCTTGAAACTTTTTGCTTGGACCGTGAAGTTCTGAAGGCCATGCGAGGCTTGAAAGACTCAATGACGGACTACGTGTACAATGGTGATTAGCAAACCGTTCCATTTCGCCTCTGCATTTTTATACAAACATTTGATTTTTATTTCATCCGAAGGTTTCTGGTTCAGCCCTGAGTGTGAATACGTGCGCGACTGTTTACTGAGGGGCCAGGCCGACGTGAACGGCAAAGTCAAACTGCGTCTCTATAAGGGATCCGGTGAATATTTCAACTCGGATTGCAAAATTTAGCAACCTTAGCAATTTATTATTCCACAGTGTCCGTTTTAAGCCGCGCGCCTAGCAGCACAGGATCACTTTACAACCAGGCTTTGGTTTCCATGGACGAAGAAGGAGGCTTCACCCCATCTGATTCGACTGGATTTATCAATTGCCACGCTCTCCGTCTGCGTGAATATTCCCGGTACAAAAATTCCAATTAAGAAAAATTCTTTAGAATAAAATAAAAGACAGTGAGTTTAGTATGATTTTCAGGTGTTTTATTATTTACAAAAATTACAAGCGGTATTAATCAGTTGTTAAAACTATGAAGTGAAAGCGTGTGTGTTTTTCACTTCTGACTGACACATCAAATGACTACGGGTAAAAGTGTTAATGCAGCCTCAAAATCGAGGATCAAACAATGTGAAAGAGGCGCTTTGTCCTCTCAATATCTCTTTGATATTAAACGGCGTTATTAAATGATAATCTGTGTTGCTCGGGGACCACATCGGAAGCCCCACGAGTGGGATTTTGAAATAATGTTTGTTCAAAATGCTCTCAAAAGTGCAAGCTGCTCTTGCAGAGAATACAAACTGTCAGGTTTGTGAGTAGAGGGCGAGGTTTAGTAGTAGTTTGTTACAATAGGAACTTGAGAGTACAAAAATAAATTAAAAATTACATCCTACGTTGAGAGAAAAACTTCTGTACACATAAGGCATTGTTCAGTGCGGTTTAGAAATTTCAGTAGGATTTTTTCAGTTTTAAAATAAGCAATTTTGCATGCGTTTGTGTGTAGCTTTGTAACACATTTGTGAAAAGTAACTGTTTATATTAAAATTGTGAGAGTCTACTCTCTGACTGAACAGTGCAAATACTCTTTGTAAGTAATACATAGACTAGATCAGAGAACCACTGTGGTTCATTCAAAAGAGTTTACAATAGTCATTAGCGGTCACGCTGAATGTAAAATGCACACTTAAGATATTATGTAGTAAAATTTACATAAGCAGGGCTCCTACAGTGTCAGATTAAAAGCATCTAGATTAAATCTCAAAATTTACCAGCAGATATAAAAAACACACTCTTTTTTCTTCTTACAACGGAGGAAAATTTCACACTTTTGATACAAATTCATATTTTGCACAGTTCGTTTCCATCTCTTTCAAGGCAAATCCACTCGGTCCTTCACAAATTTCTGCTGGTGGCGATTGGCGTTCTTTTTTGTGCTGATTTCTAGAGCCCCGCTCTTTTCTGCAAAGCAAGTGGCAAAGCCACCGCCTCAGTCATTCCAGCTCGCTGGTGCCCTGAGTGCTGGTGCCGCTGGAAAAAGAGCTCCTCGAAGTGTCCGGTGGACTCTCGACGTCCCCGACCTTGCAGCTGGGGGCGAGGGAGGAGGCGATTTCCCGCCTCCAGCCGCCGTAACTCTGCCGCCCTCGGCACAACAGGAGACGAGCCACTTCTCGTTGGAGACGGCGACTCCTGAAGGCAAAGAGGGCGGGCGAGACGAGCGAGGTGCACGTCAGCAGCGCTAGAGAGGCGGCCAGGACTGGCGGTGGGATGGACAGGCCCAGCTGGGTCCTCAGCAGAAGCAGGGCGCAGTACGGCGCCCAGCACACCACGCAGGTGAACACAACAAGGAAGGAAATGCGCGCTGCTCGAGCCTCTTCTCGATATCTAAAAAGTAATTTTTAATAATTTTTTCATTTCACATAAAATATTTAAATATTTTGATAATTTTTTTAAAAATCCAAAAAAATTAATATCTGTTTATTGATTACATCCGAACGTTAGCAATTTGATATTTAAAAATAAAAAATTTAAGACAATTCATTTTTTAAAATAATTTAAAAATAGTAATGCACGTGAGAAGAGAATTTATAATTTATTATATTTATGCAAACTTAAATTTGTTAAAAGGTTTTGAAAAGGAATAATCAAATTTTACAGTTTAAAATAACTAATTCAAACTTTAGTTAGATTTCAATTTTTATGCATCTTAAATTTGGGGAAAAAACTAGATTGCAGTGAAAAACGCTGATTTCAATTTACCTGAATAAGCTAGCGTTCGAAATGCGGTGCTTGAGAGAGCTGACAAGTCTTGGTTTTGAGGAGCTCTGCGGTAGCAGGGGTGGTGAGATGGGGGATGAGGGTTCGCCATGGCGTCTCGCCCTTTTACTGTTGCGGTGCGCTTCGGCATAGATGCAGCCATAGAGCCACATCAGGGTGAGGACAGGGATGATGAAGAAGAGGCTGACAAAGGCCAGAGTGAAATATCGGCGGAAGAGGGTGGGAGGAAGAGAAAGGCCTTCCAGTTTCCATAGCGACGTTTCCTCATTTAAACCTGCAAAATTAAAAAAAGTCTCAAATATTGTTTGTAATTGAATTGTAATAGAGATAGAGACAGTAGGAGATCAACAACTATTGAATGTATTTTGTTGGAAATGAACTAGTTGTACCAGTAAAGCCAAAATTATTTGAAAATAAGGTTTCAGAATCACTTATAAAATCACATTTAAATGAACTAAATTTTGATATATATTTCACTTAAAATCAACTATATGATTCAGGAATATAGCGTAGTCTTTCAATAAACTTTTTGTTAAAAGCAGCCTAACAAAATATGCAATAATTACAATACCTTTCAATAATTAAATTCTTTCACACAAAAAATCACTAATTTAAACTAAAATAAATAACTCATTTTTCCCAGCTTTTTTTACTTTACATCATAATTATTTTAAAACTCTGAGTTTGAATTTAAAATGATTGACGTAAATAAACGAGGAGACAAATTACCTGTCTGAAAATCTGACGCAATACGGATCTCTCATTCGGAGAAATTTATCAAGATGATTGTGCTAAAATTCCCACCAATTTAGCATTCAACTCGGCGGCGTTTTATTTTCTCATTAAAATTCGCGGAGTGATCTGCTCGCAAGCAACTGGCACCGAGACAATTGGTTTACCTGGCAAAGCTCCAGAAGCCGCAACGACGCCAGCGAACCAGGAGGCGAGGGCGGCGTGCACGGGTCTGGTGCCGTGGTAGGTCAGAGGTCGCAGCACCGCCCGGTACTGGTCAGCGGCCACGCACAGAACGCCGATGGCCGAGCTGGCCAGCACGCCGGCCGCCGAACTTTCACCAATGGCCCCTGAAAGTGCGCTCGGCCGCAGAAGGTCAAGGGCGCCTAACGTTGGCAGCAGAAAGCTTGACACCAGGTTGATGGACAGCAGATTCATAACCAGCCTGCCATCAAAAGTTGAAGTGTTTGTTTTACAATTATGTTTAATTCATGTAATTAAATGGGTTCGGCTCTTTCATTAATTTTATGGCCGTATGCAAATCATGTTTGCCTGAAGCTTTGATGTTTTGGGTCAAATTACTAATTAAAATTTACCTTCTTATATCATTTCAAGGCAAGGATCAACAAATATTTTTATTATTTTTATTATTTAAATATAAAAAGGATTAAACTTTAATAGATAAGTATTTTTAAGCTATTTTCGGATAATTAAATATGTTTCATGCATTCAAATCACTCCAATTACCTGTTTGATCGGTTGCGGAGAGCAGCCGTCCTGGCGAAAACGAGAAGGACGGCTCCATTTGCAAAGGCGCCCACCAAGCCCAGGAGGCCCAGAAGTAAAACCCAAATGGGGCCTTCATATGGCCCAGCCAGAGATGACAAATCCTGCAACACCATTAAATTTTATTAGTATTTCAACTTCCTCAACTTTTGATCGAATCAATTAACGAATTTCCAATTTTAACCGATTAGCATCGTAAATAACAAAAATTCCGTCAAGCCGAGGTCGTTTAATTTCTGCACACTGTATGCAAATTTCCTTAATCGAATTATGCAAACGAATGTGTTTTTTGACCACTCAATAACTAACGCCTTTGAAAAAAGCCGCACGCCTAAAAGGGCAGGTGAGATGATTTGCAAGTCGGAAGCCGCGTCAGGGTGAACGGCCAAGATCCATCCAATTTGTGGACAAAGGTCGGAACTACGGGTCGCCCACTCTTTCGCGTGTGCACAGGGCCTTGCACGCCCAAATACAGAGCATCCATATAATCTCTTCCTCATTTCCTTTGTGTGGCACCCTGACTGCAGCAAGGTGCAAAGTTCACGCCCTGACGAGACGCGCATTTTGTGCACCTACAGCTTCTCTTTCGCGTGTCGTGTTATTATCTTTCTCGCCCGCCCGCCCGCCACGACGCCGCGAGAGACAGAAAACAATGGTGTAGTGCATTCGCCTCTCTCTCATTTCATTATGTAAGGGGAGAACCCGTGTGGTTCGTTTACCATTCTGACTAGCTGGGAGAGACCTTCCAGACCGTTTAGTGGATTATTATCATGCATTTGCATCATAAATGCTGGTTGGTGGATTTTCAATAACCAGGAAAAGACATAGCGCGCAAAAAAAAAAACAGACAATGAGCAGGATGAAACTTTTTATGTTGAATTCCTTTTTGCTTTTTTTATTTGAAACATTAATGAGCACTGGGAGTGATATTAAACACGGATGAAATAGCGAAAATCCGAATGAGGAACTTGCCATTTTTTTCTATATTGCTGGGTATAAAAAAACTAAAGTTGTAATATATTATTGAAAATGATCTGTTTTTTTTTTTGCAATAGAAACGAAGACCCCCCCATTATGGAGATTTATGAACTCAAATAATATAAAATGTGTTGTCAAAATGAAGACATGACAGGAATGGGATTTTTTTAATAAAAAATAATGCGCGGTAAATATTAAAAAAGTATAAATTAAATCTGATATTTTTTAGTACATTTGGTATACATCTCACTTATTCTCATAAAAACATTCAAAAAATGCAAGGGTCAAGTGTTTTTCATAAAAAAGTTAATTGACCACTAATGAGGTTCACTTCTGCCAATTGGGTCTTTTTTATCTCATTGTCTGAAGTTTTAGCAAATTGTTTGCTAGTGTAGGTAACTTTTTTTGTCCAAAAATTTAATGTTTCCCTACAAAATTTTTTCATTCATAAAGCGAATTGAGAATTGGAAAGCTCGTGAGCTTTTTTGCAGACAATGGACACGCGTTGTATGCGTTAATTTATGCATGATGACGTACTTCTCATCCACAATCGATTGTGCACGCGTGAAATTTGAAAATCAGGCAGGGAAATTCCCAGTAGGTCCTGCCGCCAATTGACGTCAGTGGAAAGGAGAATCCCTTCGATTTTTCCCCCTGCACGATTTCATTCCTGATCGCTTAATGCGCACATAGATTTATATTTACGATTTTGTCGAAGTGGACTTTCGCAGGTGTGCTGGCAGAGAGTCGTGTTGCCAGCCAGTCTGGAGTTGCGGGCCACTCCTGCGTGCTAATCACGCGATCTGCGTTCGCGGAATCCCGCGGACAAGTTGCCTTAAACAGCGCTGATATAGTCTTGCTTGTTTACGAGACCAGCGAGCCATAAGGACGTACGAAACGGCGCGCTTTGTGCGAGGCAACTCTCCTGCTCCGTCAATGCTGGTGATTGACAAGAAGCTTGCATCAAATTACAGCCAGCATGATTTCTCTGCAAATTATCCCACTTTGCCGGCACGACTTGCATCATTCCCAGGCTGTCGCAGATCTTGTTGTGCCTTTCGTTCTGATTTATACCCGGAAAAAAAATTATAGAAAATTGGAATGAGAAGGGAATTTTTATTAGGACGAGAGGAAACATCTGCAGTGCTGATGTCATAAAAAGTTTTCCTTTCTGTAGAAAATAGAATAAAAAATAAAATGGAATAGAATAGAATTTCAATAAAAAGAAGAAAAAAATGAAAAATTCCAATCGATCAAATATACTTTATTTTTCAGTAATCAAAATTCAAATAAACTTTCATCCATTCATTTGAACAAATTTGAGGAGTAAAATGCCCAACCCAAATCGCAAACGTTTACCTAATGATTACAAAATTCGTGTGAATTTCGTGATGGCAAAAGTGTCTTTTTTCAGCAAATAGAGAGTGAAATTTCGCCTTGTGCTTGATTTTTGCAGTGTGGGTAAACGCATATTTCCACGACCTCACCCAATATTATTTGCCAACGCGTGTATTGTGTTTGCGGTCGGTTCACGCGCGGTAACTTTTGTGCTGTATTGAGCGTGTGATGGTGACTCTCGGAAAGTTTCACCTTGGCGCATCTAGTTGAAACAAGAAGCACATACTAAAACACTTAATCTTTTTTAGAGCTGCGCCTTTCAATTCAAAGCGGCGGTGGCTTTTTTTGAATAAGGCAACTTGTGCACCTTCAAAATCTGTCCGTTTCGAACGAATATAAATTCTCACATCCTGAATCTCCCAAAGGAAATTATTAGTGAGCAGTTTGATTGTTATATTTGCAATATGATGAATATTGAAATAATTATAAATCCAATAATTATGCAACTTTTAATTTTGTTGTTTAAATTTTCCTCGAAAATAAATGTCACGAATCTTCCAAGAAATAATTAAAAATAATAATAATCGGATTTTCTATTTTCTTGATCACACAATTTCGTAATTATTGGAATCAATATGGAACACATCAAGTAGAGACATTTATTCATTAGATGGGTGTATATGTGTATATCAACATTGCTGTATGTACAAGATTGTAATCTCATGCATGTAATGAGTTGACAATAAATAAAGAACTGGGTTCTTTTCTCCTCCATACATCTCACTTGATCGCAATTAAAGGCGACACGCCGCAGTCCACGCACTAATTAGGCCATTCTAGCGTTTCTCGCAAACGTAAATTCTGCCCGTGGAATTTTCCACTACGTTCCGAATTCAGCAGGCGACTCTATAGATTTAGCTTTCTATAGGCCGCGTTTGAGCCCCAGTGCAAATTTTACGATTTTCTTATGTAAATCTGCGCGGGCATCTGGCAATGAGGAAAAACGCGTGTATTTTTACCAGCAAGTCATAAATCCAGTCCACGCACCAGAGACGTGTTTTAATTATTATATAGACTGCTCGTCGTGCGTTAAACTCGTTCGAAATCATGGGTGTCTGTCAGAAGAAAAAAAAATTAAGCGGCCGATTGAGAGAGCAGTTTGTAAAGTAGAATGTGTTCTTCGATTATATTAACTCCCTTAAAGTGCGTGGGTTCTAAGTTATGGCTCTGTGTATAGCTTCACGTCGTAGGTTATTGAGAGGCGAGAGTATAATATCAACATATTCAATGCGTTTGAGAAGTAGTCATAAATTTCAATTATTTCACAATTGACGAGGCGCGATTTAATGAAGGAAATGGTAATTCATTATTCGCTTTAATTGCTGACAAATGTTATTATTTTCTTATGCCTTTGGGATTGTTTACGTGCTTTATTGTAATTTTGTTGTTTTTATTCTCCGTGTTGCAAAAAAAAGGCCGGATCAAGAACGACGTTTAGCCGGCAGTGAGGTAACGTTTATTCTTAATGCTCATGTCACACGAGCTATGCCGTGGAGGCGATCGAAATCACCAGCTCGTCAGACATGTGGTCTGTAATTCTGATCAAATCAAACTAGCTAAATAGAACTAAATGTGAGCCATAGAAAGATGTACATAAGATATTCCTCAGCCATTTTTGCCAACTGTTTTTTTTATCATGAACTAAATTTGATAATTGATAATAAAATAAATCAGGTTATTTATAATGTAATTGAAGTCACGGATTAAATATCTGTCTAAAATATTCCCTTAGTATCAAATAATTATCAATTGAATCAAGAAGATAATAGTCGAAAAAAATCTAGAATAGTCGTGCAAAATATATTCAACTCTATTAAATTTTTACCTTAAAGTGGAAAACCCGCGATTCTGTGACAATATGGGCTACTTGGTTCCGCCCTTTCAAAACAACCTTCAAATCATTTACTTTGTTAATTCTAGAAAAATCTTGCTGAGCTCAATGAACCAAAAGTAGACTTTAAAGAAGTAGCAAAATTTGCCGCATTAAATACGGGTTTAGGGCAGCTATTTTGCCAGATCAGCTTCAACCATTATTTTAATGATCGGCAAAAATTTTAAACTTCTAACATTCTCTTCTTGTAAGGCTTGAAAAGATTTCAGGCTATGAAGTTTGCAGCCATAAAATCACCGCTGAGCCTCTTAAATCCACGCCCGTCGCACAAACTCAGTCAGCACCAACTGGCTAAAAGACGTACGACAACATTTTTATCCCGGCCAGCATAGTGAGATATGACCACGACTCGCAATAAAAGCAATTCAGCGGGCACAGCATTATGCGGTCAGTGAGACCCAACATCGATTCGGGCAGCAGCAGCTGAGGAAAAATATATATACACAACTCCTCCACACCGAAAGGTGTGGGTCGCACTTCTTCTTGCGAAACTCGGGATATTTTTCGTGTCCGCCCGTCGCACACCGGACACACATAGATACATATATTTCTATAGGAATCCACACTGGTATTGTGTTGTGTCGCGCAATCAAGAAAAAGCAAGGCCAGAAAGAAAGAATAAGAAAGTGACGTCAGTAGAGGTATAAAAATCATAAGAGGCACACCAGATGGCTGGAGATCAAGAGACAGAACAGGTTTGCACTCCAGACAGATCGGCGCTTTTACAGTTGAGCTCATTTTTCCGCCTGCCCCAGGAAAACCAACCGAGTCATCCTCCGCGCCCAATTAAACGCGCGCACCGATTCGCGGAAATCTCTCTCTCAAGAGAAAGAAAAC